CCTCGTCAGCCAGGCTCCCCAGGGCAGTCCCTGATCTTAGAGCAGAGATGTCACCGGGTCACCCTGAGTGTGGCTGTGCCCCTCCTGCCGGCTCTGTACCCTCTCACCACGGTCCCTGCTTTGGGTCCTTCCAGGCCCCTGGCTGGCTGCAGTTCTTCACTGACTGGTGGGAGTGCTCCCAGGGCAAGAGCAGTCCCCAGTGCTGGGCGTGGGCTGCCCAGTTTGTAGTCCGCCAGCTGAGCACCCTCCTGGCCGCCCTGGCCCTGCTGTGGCTTCCTTGAGGATAGGCTTTGGGGCCACCCAGGGGAGTTGGTTCTGATGTGTCTCTTGCTGCTCAGGGCTCCAACCAGTGCCACGAGGGGCACATGCGCTCAGTCTCCATCCACGCAACCCACCTGTAAAACCCTGGGATGTCGGGAACAACATCTGGGAATGCCAGGGTCCCGGGTACCTGGTCATGGCCCGAAAGGGTGGGAGCTTTGGGGACGCAGGGCCCTTTGTCCTGCACTGGGCCCTGGGTGCAAGTGGACTGACCTGTCCCTCCCCAGTCGTTGGAGACCCCTATCTGCTGGGGAGACGCAGACATCGTGATGCCACATGCTGTGGGCGTGAGACCCTGGCTAAAGGGAGGGGGTCAGGCGGCAGAGTTCTCGAGCAAAGACCCACACGGGATGGAGGCACACAGGCAGGCCAGGATGGGCGAGGCCCGGCCTTGGCTGTGGGAGGGGTCTGTGGAGGAAGTGGCCGGGTGGTGGCCCGCCCCTGCCCAGCGCCATCTGTACTGCGGGGGCGGGGCGAGTCCAGCCCGCCAGGCCCTTCCCCTTCCCGGGAGACCCCGCCCCCTCCCCTCCCTGTGAGCTTTCCTGCCTGCCTTCCATCTAACCACACCCCGAGATCGGGCCCAGACTGACTGTGCCTGCCGGTTCCTCCTACGTCCCTCTGCTTTCGGAGGGGCCAGGAGGGTTAGGGAAGTTGCCGTGATTGTACCCCCATCCCAGGTGGTCATTTGGAAAAGGAGGGGATCATGCACAGACGGGAGGCCCCTGAATGTCCCTCGGGAGGGGCAGGGACAGCCTGACCTGTGTGCTCTGAAAGACCAACATGCCTTCTGAACGTGCCTGTGCCTGGGACAGACACTGGAGGCCTTTGTGAATCCCTGCCAGGGTCCCGCCTGGGGCCAGAGGCTGCGCCGGCCTGGGGAGCTTCAGCCTTGGGGGTCTGCGGGGCTTACTTACGGTTAACAGATCCTGGGCTCGCCGCAGAGTCCTTTCTAAGAGCTGGTAGGAAGTAAGAGGATTATTTAGGGTCTCGTGTGGGGCCACCGGGTAGGGGTTGTGTTCTTTACACTTTTCCATGTTTTAAATTCACACCCAGAACTCAGCCTCTAAAACAGCACAGGACAAATGCCTGCCACCCTTTGGGATCCACCCTTTGGGATCTGCTGGCATGTGTCTGTCATCTCCCTTGCCGCTGACCGCTGTCTGTCTCTGTCTCTCTGTCCAGGGGAACGCCCTTTTGCTTGTGACTGGCAGGGCTGTGACAAGAAGTTCGCCCGCTCCGACGAGCTGGCCCGCCACCACCGGACACACACGGGCGAGAAGCGCTTCTCCTGCCCTCTGTGTTCCAAGCGCTTCACCCGCAGCGACCACCTGGCCAAGCATGCCCGCCGCCACCCCGGCTTCCACCCGGACCTGCTCCGGCGCCCTGGTGCCCGCAGTACCTCCCCCAGCGACTCGCTGCCCTGCAGCCTGGCCGGGAGCCCTGCGCCCAGCCCCGCGCCCAGCCCAGCCCCCGCAGGCCTGTAGGGCCCTCGTCCAGCCCACCCTGACCACCAGGATGCTTCTGCCATCCAGGGGTGTAGTGAGGACCCACGGGGAGCCCAGTCCCCTTCCAGCTGTGGGCAAACCCTGAAGACACCCCTGCCCCCCTCCAGAGAGCAAGGAGGGGGCCTGAGACTGGACCCGGGTCTGCCTGACCTCAGAGGTGGCTCTCAGGACGGGTGACGGGGGCTTCTGTCTGTAAATAGCCATGATACTAACTTTCTTCCCATCTGTGCAACGGGGCCCCCCCGGGGCGGCTAGGAGGTCCTCCCTTCTCCTCTCCACCACCCTCTGCTGCCCCCCTCCCGGGGTGGGGTTTGTGGGGGTGGAGTGGACTTCTGGGAGCTGGCCCAGGGAAGGCACCCCCTGCCCCATCCCTGCAGGTTGGGATGAAGCGTGCAGACAGCCATAGAGGAGCTGGGGGTTGACACGGCCCCTGCCTCTCCCCACCCTACCCCACCCCACCGAAAGCCATGGGAGTAGTTCAGGGAAACGGGGGTGCAGCCCGGCCGCCCCCCACTCGGGTACTCAATCTCAGGTGTCCACAGGTTGTGCCCACGTTAGGGGCTGCCCATCCCCCCAGACCTTGGGGGTAGAGCCAGGAGCGGGGAGACGTTAGGATGCCCGGAGGGGCTCCAGGTCTTGCTTCTGAGACCTGCGATGGGGAGGGAGGGGACCTCTGGGTTCTTCCAAAGAACATTTGACTCAGTGGAGGTTGGGAGGTGGGAGGCGGATATTGGGGTCAGGAGGGAATGCCGGCTTATTTATTTTCCTCTCTCCTCCGGTGTGGGGCCCTAGCTCCCCGTCTCTGGGTGGGTGGGAGAGAGAGGCTGCAGGGGAGGCTGGCACTGGGCCTGGTGGCCCTCCAGCCCATGCCCTGCCGACTTTGGCCTTTGCGGTATCACGTGACAATCAACTCCCTTAAGGACGCCTGCAGCCATTGGGCCGCACTGCCCTCCCTGGCCTGCAGGTGGGGCCGTAGAGCCCATGCCCAGCGGGGTTGCAGGCTCTTCCGGGCGTGGGCTGCAGCCTGGCCAGGCCCTGCTTCCCCGACCTCCCCTCCTTCTCCTGGGTGCCTGGAAGAGGTGGGCCCTGGCCCGTGGTCGAGGTCCTGCCTCGTGGACTGGAAACAGAGGGCTGGCTGTGCAGCCTCCTGGGGTAGTTCGTTTTTTTTGCACCGGGTAGAATATTTTTTCAGGCACGGATTCCTTTTTTCTGGGCCCCCGTGGGTGGTCCGGCATCCTCAGGGGGTGTGAGTGTGTGTGGGAGGGGTCTCTGAGCTGAACTTGGGTGGGTGGGGACTCGTCCCTCGGGGGCCACCTTCGTGTCCTTGCCAGGGGTCGTCCTGCTGTGGCCTGGGTTGCATTTCCTCTTGGGGGGTATTGAGGACCCCCCCAGCATGGAATGAGAAGGGTCCTAGGTTCCATGTCCAAGACCCGGAAAGGTGAATCCCCTCACTGTTGGCTGCAGGAGGTTTTTGGTACCCCCTTTTGTTCCAGAACCTTCCTGCATCTCGCTTGGGGGCAGGGGGGCTTCGGATGGCCACTGGTGTGCACCTGGACCCAGCCCCGGCCTGGCAGGATCCAGGGATGGGTGCCTGGGGTCCTGCGGGCAGGGAGGCAGGGGACGCCCTTCTGGAGCTGGGCTCGGAGGGTCTGCCCCATCCAGCCCTCGGCTCTCTGTATTCTCTGTCCCTAGCCTCAAACCCTCCTCTGGCAGCGCTAGTGAGATGCCTTAGTCTGTGGGGGTGGGTGAGGGACTGGGGCCCCGTTTTCCTTTAGTGTCTTGTTGGCCCCAGCCCTGGCCGGGGCCTGTCTGGAGCAGGGGAGGGTAGGGCTGTGGGTTCCATAACTCTCTAAGTGGGCCCCTCTCCAGTGTCCAGGGGCTTGGAGAGAGCTGCGCCCACCCCTCCACTCCCCCAGGAGCCGCTGGTCACTGGGACTCGGTTCCAGCCGTTTGCAGGGGAGGTGGCTCCAAGGGGCGTGTGCTTTCCGTGGGTGGCGCTCCTCCCCCACCCTGCCTGGCCTCATCCTTGTATTTAATTAATTAAACGAGCCCCTTTTTAAACCCTACTCCAGTGTGTGTGTGTGGTCTCTCCCGTGCCAGTACCCAGCCTGTGGGCACGCTCTGAACCCCTCTGTCCCACCCACTAGTGCGGCCCCAAGTTCATCCATCTCGTGGGGAAACTGAGGCAGCGGGTTAGTGAAGAGGGTCTTGGCCAGGCCCCTCTGGCTGAGACACAAAATGCCCTGCCGCTAGCCCTGAGCCCCGCGGAGGGGGCTGCCTGCAACAGCGCGCGCTGCGCCCGCCGGGTGTCACCCACGCCCTGGCGCAGCTGCGCCCCCCGCCCAGCTTCCCGCCCGCCCCGTTGCCTGGCAACTGAGGCACGGTGACATGGCGCCCGGGGGCGTCCGCCGCCCTCCCCTTCCGGTGCTGCAGGGGATGGGGGAGCCCGCGCCCCCGGGGCTGCTCACCGGCGCGGGACAGGCTCCCACGGAGGATCCCCCAGCCGCCTCCCAGGCTCCCGTGCTCCTGCATTGAGCGCCTACTGTATGCCAGCTCCCCTAGTGGGAACTGGGAAGAGGGGGCGGTGAGAGCTTTGAAGCCCTCCCCAGGAAAAACCACTCCGGACTCCAGCGCTCCCTAGAGCCTGGAGGCCGGCGGGGCCGGGGTGGGGCAGGGCAGGCCCCTCCTACACACCTGCTGAGCCCGGGGGCTTGGCCTGCAGCCTGCCCGGGGAAGGGGGTGGTCGGCGCCGGCTCACGCCAGACTCCTCCCCAACCTGGGCGGCGAATTCTCGGCTTTACTCGAGGGCAGCCTCTCTCGTGCACCCCCAATCCTACCCCACCCATCCTCCCATTCTACCGGACGCCCCACAGACATTACCCCCGGGACTCTCGCGCCCCTCCAGCTCCTGCTGTCTGGGTGAAGGGGAAAAGGACAAGATGGAGGGAGGTGAACAGAAAAGACGCAGCCCCTACTACTTCCGGGTTCTTCATCATCCAAGTTACCCGCGCGCGGGAAAATGCAGCCCGCGCCCGGGAAAAAAGCAGACGAACTGAGCAGGCGCGACGTGACGTCATCGGAGGAAACCTAAACTTACTACGGAGACGCCCCTGGCACGCCCTTATCCCACCCACTGCCCGCCCATTTCCACGCCCAGGACATAAAAGTCGCGGCCGGCAGGCGCCGGCGCGAACTTCCCCGGCCCCATTGCTTGTGGACCGAGGAACCTCGCCGGAGAGCGCCGGCGCGACTTCCCTGGCCCCACATAGAGGACCGGTTGAACCTCGCCCAAGATCCCTGACCTGTTGGTCAATAAAGTTCTTTCTTTCCTACCACTTGCCTCCAGCGCCTCTTTCCTGGCCAAAAGGAATTAGATAAATCAGGTGGTGCCGAAACCCGGGAGGAGACCCCTCCTCAGGGTCCCCCAAGGTCCGGGGAGCCTCCTCCTTCCACGCTGCGGACGGACCAGGACCCAAAGAACCGCTTTCTACCAATCCATTCCTCTAGAATCTCCTGGGGTAAGTGCCCTTTGTCTTTCTTTCCCACTCCTTGGCCAAGAAGCCCTGCGCAGGCCCAAGGCCACTTTTGGGGTCACCAGGTGACCCATAGGAAGCCTTCTGAGACAGAGACGTCTGCTCGGAAGTCTCTCCATCCACTTACGGCTCCGCGAGCCGCCGGTCTCTAGTGATTCCAAAGGACGCTTTGGAGTCAGCCAGAGCCCGGTTTCCATGAGCCAAGGAAAGGCAGTGGGTAATCCCCAGTCCAAAATTCCGCGAGACACCCCTTTAGGGTGTTTATTAGGCAACCTAAAAAACCTACAATTAGAGCAGGATCTAAAGTGAAAGCGACTAATTTTCCTCTCCACTCTGGCGTGGCCGCAATGTAAACTAGACAATCAGTCCCAATGGCCGCCTGCCCGAAGGCACCCTAGATCGTGATACTTTAATCGACCTCGGCAATTTTTGCCGGCGCCTAGGCAAGTGGTCTGAAATAAATTATATACAAGGATTTTGGGATTTACGCTCTCGACCAGACTTATGTAGTCAATGCTCCTTGGCCCAAGTTATGTTGGCCAGGGCTGGGGTCCCCATGGGGTGGGACAAAGAGGAGTCATCCTTCCTGTCCGACCTGTCCGAGGATCTCAGAAACTCCCATTTCAGACCTCCAGCAGCCGCCGCCTCCCCTCCTCTTCCACCCTATACTTCGCCCCCTTCCACTTCCACCTCTACCTTGGCTCCACCTGCCGCCCCTTTCCCCGCCCCCCTCGGCACCTCCCTCTCGCCACCTTGATTCACCCATATCCTCTCACACCCGTTCCCAAAATTGTTCAGGCCCTGCTCCTACCCCCACTCCTACCCCTCAACCCCCTACGGTTCTGCCCCCCCCACGCGAGGTGGCCGGTGCAGAAGGTGTAGTCAGGGTCCATGTCCCTTTCTCACTAGCAGATCTTTCCAAGATTGAAAAACGCTTAGGAGACTTCTCTGCCAACTCTACGGTTTATACCGAAGAATTCAGGTACCTGTGCCAGGTCTACAATCTAACCTGGCACGACCTCCATGTCATTCTTACCTCTACTCTAAACCCTGAGGAGCGAGAGTGCATCCTAGCGGCAGCCAGGCAGCATGCAGATCAGTTACACTTAACGGATGCTGCTGTTCCAGTAGGGGAAGAAACAAGCAGTCCCATCTATTGAGTCCCATCTACTACCAAGTAGGCCAGCCGGGTCGCCGAAGTCGAGACATCATGACCCAATGCCTCCTGGCAGGTATGCAGGAGGCCTCAAACAAAATAGTTAATTTTAATAAATTAAAAGAAATTATTCAAGGTCCAGATGAAAATCCGGCCACATTCTTAAATAGGCTAACAGGCTTTAACCCAGTATACCCGATTAGACCCAGCCTCCCCAGCTGGGGCCACTATCTTGGCATCTTATTTTATTTCACAATCAGTCCCAGATATTTGGAAAATACTCCAAAAAGCCGAAGATGGTCCTCAGACCCCCATCCAAGATTTAGTCAAGCTAGCTTTTAAAGTTTTTAATTCGTGAGAAGAGACAGCTGAGGCCCAGAGACAAAATGGGGCCAAACAGAAGGCAGCCCTCAATGCCCAAGCACTAGCGGCAGCCCTGCAACCTAATCTCAATCCCAGCTGGGAGGTAAGCCTACTAAGGCAACAAAGGGGGCCTGTTATAAGTGCGGCACCCCAGGTCATTGGGCTGACAAAAGCCCACAGGCCCAACTTTCAGGTCCACCACAACTGTGTTTTAAGTGGCAAACGCGGACATTGGGCAAGTCACTGTCCCAATCCTCGTCCGCCATCCACACCCTGCCCGGCTTGCCAAGAAGAAGGGCATTGGAAGTCAGATTGCCCCACCCTGAAAACGGGCATAGCGTCTCAACGTGGTGTCCCTTCTCAGGACCCTGGGAGCTCCTTCCAGCTCTTACACCTAGACGACGACTGAAAGCGCCTGGACTTGGGGACCCCCATCACCCTCGCCCAAGCCTCGGGTAACTCTTCAGGTAGCGGGTAAGCCAGTTTCTTTTCTTGTGGATATGGGGGTACCCACTCTGTTTTGCCATCATTTAGTGGACCTAGTCACCCATCTCATATTTCAGTTATAGGAGTTGGAGGCACTCCGTCTAGTCCTCTTAGAACACCACCTCTTAATTGCTGCCTGGCCAATAACTATTTTGCACACTTGTTCCTCATCATCCCCTCATGCCCCACTCCTCTACTAGGCCGAGATATCCTAAGTCAACTGAAAGCCTGTATCTCTCTTCCTACTAGCTCCCCCCACCCCGCCTGCCATCTACTTCTAGTATTAACTAACTCAAATGACTCCAACAACCCCACTAACCCTTTCCCTAATTTCCCCATTCCTATAGACCCCCAAGTGTGGGACACCTCCACTCCTGTCGTGGTGGACCATCATCCACCAATACTCATAAAACTTAAAAACCCATCTCAGTTTCCAACCTGCCCACAGTTCTCTCTCTCCACAACACTTACGAGGACTAAAACCAATCATTACTAGGTTACTCAGCCAACACATCCTCATCCCCACTCATTCTCCCTGTAACACCCCAATCCTACCCGTAAAGAAGGCAGATGGGACTTTTTGGTTAGTGCAAGATCTTCGTCTTATCATTGAGGCTGTTTGCCCCACCCATCCATAGTTCACAATCCCTATACCCTTCCCTCTCATCCCATCTAACACAACACACTTTACTGTACCAGATCTAAAAGATGCATTTTTCTCTATTCCCTTACATCCAGACTGTCAGTGTCTCTTTGCCTTTACATGGGAAGACCCAGACACCCATGCCTCCACCCAACTGACATGGACAGTGCTTCCCCAAGATAGCCCCCATTTCTTTGGGCAAGCCCCTGCAAAAGACTTGGCCTCCTGCCCTCTTAAAAATAGTAAAATTCTCCAATATGTAGATGACCTTTTAGTCTGTAGTCCCACGAGACAGGACTCTCTTTTAGACACTGCAATCCTCCTTCATCATCTAGGATCCAGAGGTTACCGAGTATCTAAACACAAAGCTGAACTCTCACAACAATGTGTCATATATTTAGGCATTGAAATCACTCCCACAACGCGCTCGCTCACCACAGACCGTTTAACTCTAATACAAAATCTTTCTCCTCCCCAAGACGCTAAAGAAATCCAATCCTTCCTAGGCCTCGTAGGGTTTTTCAGACACTGGATTCCTAATTTCGGAATCTTGGCTAAACCTCTATATGCAGCTGTCAAGGAGACTCCCCAAGGACCTTTGTCTAACCCAAAGTTAATCTATAAACATTTCACTCACCTAAAAAACTGCCTTCTCTCACATCCTACTCTCTCACTCCCAGACTTCCAACGCCCCTTCCAGCTTTTCACAGATAAAGACAAAAAGTTGCTATTGGCCTTTTAGTCCAACCTGTAGGCACCACATACCGTCCTGTGGCATATCTATCCAATTAGATCCCACTGTACAAGGGTGGTAGCCCTGCCTTCGGGCCCTAGCAGTAGCAGCCTGTCTAACCCTGGAAGCGAAGAAACTCATCAGAGGCTGCAGCCTGACAGTCTTCTCTACCCACCACCTTCAAGACCTTATTGCCCACAAAAGTATCAGCCACCTAACCCCGTCCAGGCTTCAACTTTTCCACCTCTTGTTCATAGAAGACTCTACCATTGCCCTAGGAGTCTGCTCCTCTCTAAATCCAGCAACCTTACTCCCCAACCCTCTCAAACAACCCCATACTGAACACTCCTGTCCAGAACTTTTAGAGGCCCAACCACCTAGTCACTTACATTTACATGACCAACCTTTGGAGAGCCCACAGTTAACCCTATTTGTAGATGGCAGTTCCTTTATAAATTCTCAAGGAAACAGACAGGCAGGATACGCGGTAGTTATGTCATCCACTGTTCTAGAAGCTAAGCCTTTACCACAAGGAACAACATCACAGCAGGCGGAGCTTATCGCACTAACTAGGGCTCTCCTCCTATCTAGAGGAAAAACAGTAAACATATACACAGATTCTAAGTATGCCTTCTTAATTGCACACACCCATTCTGTCATCTGGAAAGAAAGAGGGTTCCTAACCACCTGTGGTACCCCCATAATCAACAAAAAGCAAATACTTAAACTGCTAGACGCTTTATCAGCACCTTCCAAAGCAGCCATCATACACTGTAAAGGTCATCAGATTCCATCTAACCCGGTGGCAGCTGGCAACAATTTTGCTGACACCACTGCCAAATCGGCTGCTGGATTCTCCACCCCTACATTTCCTTCTGTTTGTTTTCTTTCTCCCTAATATACCCCTAATTACACCCAGGAAGTAAAAAGCAAAGTATTATAAGACTCAACAGCCAGACTAGCCACAGACAATTGGATTTACATCAATAATAAATTAGTTATTCCTAAAACACAACTCCACACCGTCTTAAGACACATACATAATTCCTTGCACATAGGACCCAGAGCTCTGTATAACCTTCTAAGCCCCCTTATCCACTGCCCTACACTCATGAAACACCTAATTATAATCAACCAACAGCGCTCCACATGCCTCAAGTCAAATCCTCAAGGCGCATTACGCAACTCCCACCCAAGTCACCAACTCAGAGGACACCAACCAGGCGAAGATTGGCAAATTGATTTTACCCACATGCTAAAACATAAAATATTCAAATATCTCTTAACCCTCGTTGATACCTTTTCAGGATGGATAGAGGCCTGTCCACAGGAGAGACTGCCAATGTAGGGGCCTCCATACTCACTGAACACATTATTCCTAGGTTCGGCCTCCCACTCACCCTCCAGTCTGACAATGGCCCAGCCTTCATCTCCAAGGTATTCCAACAGGTGGCAGCCCTCCTCCACATCACCTGGAAACTCCACATCCCTTATAGACCCCAGTCCTCAGGTAAAGTAGAAAAAGCCAGCGGACCAATCAAACAACAACTCACCAAACTCTCACTCGAGACTCTACAGTCCTGGGTAACCCTCCTGCCTCTAGCCTTAACCCGGCTGTGGGCCGCCCCGTGAAGTCCAACAGGCCTCAGTCCATTCGAACTAGTTTACGGCCGACCCCACACCTTACAACAGCTGCCTACCCTTTCTTCTCTGCTGGCAAATTACCTTCCATACTCAACTCTTTTGAGACAACTACTAAGAGAGCATGCAGAACTAGCACACCCGCCTCCGATGGGCACTTATAATCCACACACCTTTCTCAGCCCAGGTGATCAAGTATACTTAAAGAACATCCAGGCCGGGTACGGTGGCTCAAGCCTGTAATCCTAGCACTTTGGGAGGCCGAGACGGGCGGACCACGAGGTCAGGAGATCGAGACCATCCTGGCTAACCCGGTGAAACCCCGTCTCTACTAAAAAATACAAAAAACTAGCCAGGCGAGGTGGCGGGTGCCTGTAGTCCCAGCTACTCGGGAGGCTGAGGCAGGAGAATGGCGTAAACCCGGGAGGCGGAGCTTGCAGTGAGCTGAGATCCGGCCACTGCACTCCGGCCTGGGCGACAGAGCGAGACTCCGTCTCAAAAAAAAAAAAGAACATCCAGGCCGAAGACCTCCAGCCCAGGTGGAAAGGCCCATATACTGCCCTCCTATCCACACACACAGCAGCCAAGCTATTAGGCCTCACACACTGGGTCCACATATCACAACTGAAGAGGGGCCCCCCAGAAGGCAACAAGTGGGAATCAGCTAAACTCACCCCACCCGCCTCAAGCTCACCAAACTTCCCTAATTAACACGTTTTCAGGCCTTTTATGACCATCCCGATTCCTCACCATACTGTACACAAATCTGGCAGAGTTTCAACACATCACCCCAGATCTCTATTTGCCCCCAGACCCCAGCCCAACACAGTGGTTCTCTCACCTACTCACCTTTGTAGAATATCTCCAGTGGCAAGGCGCGTTCTATGCTTACTCAGAAGATGAAGTCTTCTTATTCACTTTTATTACTATCCTTCTACATTCCAACAGCAATTACTAACCCAACCTTTATATGGAGATTCTCCATAACTGAAACTTGGTCCTCCAACAACAAGCAACATACAGTTCTGCAAGGCACTGCAGACTGTTCACCTCAAGGCTGTCAATCTGCTCTTTCCATAAATTTCTCCCTAACTTCCATCGCTGATAGATGGGCTCAACCATCCATCTGTTTCCTACATGACCAGACAGAATACAATTGTAAAAACTATTGGCAACAAACCAATCTGGGTTGCCCATACAAATATTGTAAAATAGACTATTCAATGCTAGATAAATACACATGACAGAAAGTTAAGCAGTAAATATCTCTTCACTTGCGATGGAAGAAGTGACCCCCTTAAATATCATCTAAACATAAAAGTCCCCTGGGACTCCCGATGGGCGGACGGAGTAAAAGGAGGACTTTATGGAAACAGCGTTTGGGACTCATATCCCACTGCCTCCCTCCTAATAAAAAGGACACTTGTCCAGCAAAAATCCCTCCCCAAAAATATACAAGTCCTACAAAATTTAACCTCAGTCGTAAAATCACAGGAACAAAACCTACAAGAGCAGTTAAATCCCCCTAATAAAAAAGACCCATTCTCATGGTTAAAACTTGTCCGTCAAGGGCTAAACCTAACACAAACAGCTAACATAACAAATCTTTCCCACTGCTTCCTCTGTGCGGCTCTTGAAAGAGCCCCCTTAGTGGCAGTTCCCTTACCCACTGCTTCCAAGGCTACAACGGACTCTACCGGCACCCCCCAAAAACCGTCCCTACTCCCAAGTCCCAATATACCAAAACCCAGAAAATCCAATCCTTCCTTTCTGCTACTCTGCCCCAAACAACTCCTGGTGTAATTACACCCAATCGCCCAATAGGACCCAGACAGCTCCTGTTGGAGGTTATTTTTGGTGTAATCAAACCCTCTCAAATTCTTAACCATACATCCATCAGCCAATCCCTTTGCGTCCCGGTGTCTTTAGTTCCTAGCCTAACCCTATATACCAAAGGAGAAGTATTCGAACTGACTTCACAACTTACCACCTCCAACAATAAAATCCAAAAGCGGGCTATTTTTCTTCCCATGGTCATTGGGGTTTCTTTTTTTTTGACAGAGTCTCGCTCTGTCGTCCAGGCTGGAGTGCAGTGGCGCAATCTCGGCTCACTGCAAGCTCTGCCTCCCGGGTTCACACCATTCTCCTGCCTCAGCCTCCCATGTAGCTGGGACTACAGGTGCCCGACACCTCGCCCGGCTGGTTTTTTGTATTTTTAGTAGAGACGGGGTTTCACCGTGTTAGCCAGGATGGTCTCGATCTCCCGACCTCGTGATCCGCCCGTCTCGGCCTCCCAAAGTGCTGGGATGACAGGCGTGAGCCAGCGCGCCCAGCTGGGGTTTCTTTAGCATCCTCCTTAATAGCCTCTGGACTAGGGACAGGGGCACTTGCCCACTCAGTCCAGTCCACGCGGACCCTCTTTACCCAGCTCCAGGAAGCCATAGAGGTTTCAGCCGAAAGCCTGGCCTCCTTGCATCGCCAAATTACATCAGTAGCTCAGGTGTCAGCACACAATAGGCGGGCATTAGATCTTACAGCTGAAGAAGGAGGAACATGCCTCTTCCTAGGGGAGGAGTGTTGCTACTACATAAATGAATCAGGCCTAGTTGACACTAATGTCCAAACATTAAACAAAATCAAAAAGGAGTTTCAGAATTTAACGACCCCTTAACCCCTTGGACCACCAGTATGGCTGCTACCTGTAGTACAGCAGATGCTTCCATTCCTAATCCCCATACTAATCCTGTCTTATGTTATGTCTTGCTCCTATTCTAATAAAATTTCTCCGAGCCAGGATCCAAGAAATCACCCGAGTCACCTTCAATCAAATGCTCCCGCATCCCTACACCCAACTGCCAACCTCAGAACCTAACTACACCCCTTAACAGCAAGAAGCAGCCAGACAGACAACGGCGCCCCGGATTGTTATAATCAATAAGAGGTTGGACTGTCTGGGTGAAGGGGAAAAGGACAAGATGGAGGGAGGTGAACAGAAAAGATGCAGCCCCTACTACTTCCGGGTTCTTCATCATCCAACTTACCCGCATGTGGGAAAATGCAGCCTGCGCCGGGAAAAAAGCAGACCAATGGAGCAGGCGTGAGGTGAGGACAATTTGAGGAAACAGAAACTTACTATGGAGACGTCCCTGGCACGCCCTTATCCCACCCACTGCCCTCCCATTTCCAAGCCGAGGACATAAAAGTCGAGGCCGGCAGGCACCGGCGCGAACTTCCCCGGCCCCATTGCTTGTGGACCGAGGAACCTCGCCCGAGAGCGCCGGCTCGACTTCTCTGGCCCCACTTAGAGGACCGGTGAACCTCGCCCAAGAGCCCTGACCTGTTGGTCAATAAAGTTATTTCTTTTCTACCACTTGCCTCCAGCGCCTAACTCTTTCCTGGCCAAAAGGAATTACATAAATCACCTGCCTGGTATTCTGCCCTTCTGAAGCAAAATGTCTAGAATGTGGTGTCTGCACTCGCAGCCTCACCCCTCAATCTCTGACGGACATACTCACATTAGGCTTTTAAATTACAGCGCCCCACCCACAACGCACGTGCCCGGAAACAGCGCCATCCTTTTGGTGCCTTTGGGACCCCGACCCTCCTGGGCGTCCCTCCCGCCCACAGGCTGCCCTTGCCACGCCCCCTCAGTCGAGGGCAGTGCCATCCTGCAAGGTCAAAATTCTTGGGGAGTCCAGGGTGACTCCCCAAGGACTGTGTGTCTCACCACCCACATCTGGCCCATCTGAAAACTCCCTGGGCTCTACCTTCAAAATAGATCCAGAATCCGGCCACCTTTCCTTGTTGTAAGGGCCTCCACCCTGACGGTCTAGTCTCCCTACGACTCACCTGATCCAGTGCAATCACCCTCGCCCTGGTCACCTGGTGCCCACACGGTTTGTCCTCCTCACCGCCACCAGAGGGCGTCCGTGAGCACCTGGGGCAAGTCTGGTTCCTCCTTTGCCCGCAACCCTCCATGGCTCCCACTCCCCTCACGGTCAAAGCCCAAGTCCTCCCTGAAGCCCATAGGGTTCTGCACGACCTGCCCCGTCCTCTCTGCCCTTCCCTCCTCCCTCTCTCCCCCTCCTTACTCTGCTGCAGCCACACCGGCCTCCTCACTGCTCCTCCAACACACCAGACACAGTACTGCCACGTGGCCTTTGCAAGGGCTGTGCCCTCTGCCTGGAATGCCCTTCCTCCAGAAACCTGCTTAGCTCCCTCATCTTTTATTTATCTATTTTTAGTTTTTTTGAGATACAGTCTCACTCTGTCACAGGCTGGAGTGCAGTGGTGCAATCTTGGCTCACTGCAACCTCCACCTCCCAGGTTCAAGGGATTCTCCTGCCTCAGCCTCCCAAGCAGTTGGAATTACAGGCGTGCGCCACCATGCCCAGCTAATTTTTGTATTTTTAGTAGAGACAGAGGTTTCACCATGTTGGCCAGGCTGGTCTCGAACTCCTGACCTCAAGTGATCTGCCTGCCTCGGCCTTCCAAAGTGCTGGGATTACAGGCGAGAGCCTCCATGCCCGGCCCTAATTTTCTTTAAAACCGCACAAATCCCGCCTTCCCCATAGAGCCACCCAGACCAGCCCTGCCTGTCCCCAGCCCAGGCTCTTCTGTTTCTGTTCCCAAAGCACTTTCCACCTCGTTTCAGGCTGTCTGACTGACTTATCCCCGTGTTCACTGTCTGCCTCCCCGCCTACACCACCACCTCCACCAGGGTGGGGTTCTCTGCTTAGGAATGTTTCCAGCATTGTGTGGCACACAGTAGGTGCTCAGTAATTATTTGCTGAATGAATGACCAAGACCAGCTGGCACGGATGGAGCAATTGCATAAATGAGACTTCATTTCCCCCACATCATCAGGAGCCATGACAAGGAGTCTGCCCTTCCACTGCCCGTGATGGGACAGCTTTGAGATTAGATAAAGTCCTCTGCAGAGTCGCTGATGACCCACCCCAACTCACGTCGCCCCATCATTGTACCCTGTCATTTATTTGTAATTGTAAAATCACATGCACATAACATAAAATTTGCCATCTTAATCTTTGTATTATTATTATTATTTGAGACAGAGTCACTCTGTCGCCCAGGCTGGAGTCCAGTGGTGCAATATCGGTTCACTGCAACTTCCGCTTCCCAGGTTCAAGTGATTCTCCTGCCTCAGCCTCCCAAGTAGTTGGGACTACAGGTGCCCGCCACCATGCCCAGCTAATTTTGTATTTTTAGTAGAGGCAGGGTTTTGCCATCTTGGCCAGGCTGGTCTCAAACTCCTGACCTTGGGTGATCTTCCCTCCTCAGCCTCCCAAAGTGCTGGGATTACAGGCATGAGCCATCGCGCCCGGGTAATTTTCGTACTTTTAGTGGGACAGGGTTTTGCCATGTTGGCCAAGCTGGTTTTGAAATCCTGGGCTCAAGTGATTCACCCGCCTCAGCCTCCCAGAGTGTTGGGATTACAGACATGAGCCACTGTGCCCGGCCTAAGACTTTGCTTTCTATTCTTTTTGGGTGTATACCCAGGAATAGAGTTGCTCATAGGGTAACTCTGTTTAACTTCTTCCATCTCTACACAAAATACAAAAAATTAGCTAGGCATGATGGTGCACACCTGTGGTTCCAGCTACTCGGGAGGCTGAGGTGGGAGAATCACCTGAGCCAGGGAAGTCGAGGCTGCAGTGAGCTGTGATCGCACCACTGCACTCCATCCTGGGTGACAGAGCAAGACCCTGTCTCTTAAAAACAAACTTTTTGGGTTTTTTGTTTTACATAGCAGTCGCACTATTTTACAATCTCACCAAAATGCACCAGATTAAACTTCCCATTAAGATGTGGGCCTACCCCACCAGACTACAGAGTTACCCCATCCCAGCCTTGTTCCTCGTTTGTCTGTTAAAATGCACCATCTAGGGCCGGGCGCGGTGGCTCAAGCCTGTAATCCCAGCACTTTGGGAGGCCGAGACGGGCGGATCACGAGGTCAGGAGATCGAGACCGTCCTGGCGAACACGGTGAAACCCCGTCTCTACTAAAAAAATACAAAAAACTAGCCGGGCGAGGTGGCGGGCGCCTGTGGTCCCAGCTACTCGGGAGGCTGAGGCAGGAGAATGGCGTAAACCCGGGAGGCGGAGCTTGCAGTGAGCCGAGATCGCGCCACTGCACTCCAGCCCGGGCGACAGAGCGAGACTCCGTCTCAAAAAAAAAAAAAAAAAAAAAAAAATGCACCATCTAGCCTGGTACAGAGTAGGCGCTCAATATTTGTTGAACAAATAAGTGAATGTGGACCTGGTCATTAGACTGATGATAAGAGTCGAAGTTGGGGAGATTAAGGCGCTTCCTGAGAGCTAGCTGTATACCAGGGCGAGGGAAGTTTGAAAGAGTGTGAACGGAGTAATTCACCCGTGGGTTTCACCTGGTCCAGGTTTAAGGCCACCTCCCCGCAGAACTCTCCTCATCCAGCAGAGGGCGCTTTAAGGTGATATGCTAACGAATGGAAATAATATGCAAATGAGTCATAGCGGGCCCCATGGGGCTTTTTTTGGTCAGGCGCGCCGTGGACAGCCCTGGCGCCTCAGGGGCCTGGGGCTCAAGATGGCGCCGGTACAGCCGCCAAAGGCCGGGCGGCGGCGCTGGCGAGGCTCCCGGAGACCGCAGGCAGGGCAGCCCCCGCCGTCCTTATTTCCTCCCGCGGCCGTCTGTCCCGGCCCAGGGGTCCGTCACCAGCCTCGGTCGCGCGGGAGCCGGCGTTTCTGAGCAGGCGCGCTGCGGGCAGCCCCTCCCGGGGTCCCTTGCGGCGGCGTCCCGAGGGCCTCCGGGGGCCTCGGAGCAAGATGGCGGCGGCGGGGTCCGTGAGGCGCGGGCGGCGGCGACCGCGGCGCCAGTGAGGGGGCCCGGGGGCCCGGGCGGCTCCGGGCCGGGGCCCCGCCGCGGGACGGACCATGCTACGCTCCACTGGCTTCTTCCGGGCCATTGACTGCCCCTATTGGTCTGGGGCGCCCGGGGGGCCCTGCCGGCGGCCCTACTGCCACTTCCGGCACCGCGGGGCCCGGGTCCCCGGCGCGCCCGGTGACGGTGGAGAGGCGCCCCCCGCAGCAGGTAACTCCCGCCCGCCTGCTCGCCTTGGGCTCGGCTCCCCTACCCGGGTCTGGAGCCCACCTCCGGTCCCGCCCGGGGTCCCCCTTCTCGGCCCAGTCCCCTCCCCACATGTTCGCGGGCGACGGTTTGCCCAGTCGGGACCGGGACCACCCACCCGGGGACCCGGTGCAAAGCACTAGATCTCTGTAAGCCTTCGTCTTCACGAGTATGAAGTGTCAACTAGGAGGACGCGTCCTACCAGGGCTGTCTAGAGGGCGGAGTGCGAGCGCATGTTGAGTACCGGGCACCGGGCCTGGCACGAGGGGGCTCGGGAGACGGGCGCGGCCGGCACTAGGCAGGCCCTGGACTCCTCCTGCCGCTGATTCGCGCCCGCCGCTTCCCGGACCCCATGTGCTTGTGGCTGCCCTTGTTTATTTCCAAGACGTTTCCTCCGGCCGCGCCTCTGGCAGCCTCAGTCTCCAGTCGTTGAGTCAGGATGGTCCGAGGATCGTCTCCTGAGTGTGTCGAGCCCTGTGTCCAGCATGACTGGGCAGGGAGGAAGTCAAAGCTTACTTAAGTGGGCTCCGAGGAATTCCATGCTTTTGGTCGGGCCGAGGACGTTGGTGGACTCCACCTCACAGCGTCATGGTGGTTTTCATCGTCATGGCAGCGTTTCTTGGAGGAGATGTGGGATTTGGATTGGAGAAAAAGGACATCGCAAGGAAAGGCGTGGAGGGAGGGTTATCGAGTGTGATGTCATTCAGACTCCCCTGTGACCTCTGTCCCTTGATAGTGGCTCTCTGCTTCCCCCAGCCCCTGACTTCTTTAATCCTAGATTTCCTCACTGGGCGTGAGTTTCCAGCGTTGTTTTCACTTTTACCTCAATGAAACAGTCTCAGCTCAGAACCTTTTCCTTCAAAAGAGGAAGATCTTCGTTGGGAGTTAAGAATAGGCTTATTATCCTGTTTGGCCAGAAAAGGTAGCATTTTTTTCTGATTTCCCTGATAAGTGTGCTTAGGACACCTGCACGTGTGGGCGGTTGTTTGCAGGTGGACAGATGCAAGCAATCACTTGTCAGCTCCCCATCGCCCAGCATCTTTGCTGTGCCTGAGGCGGGGGATTCAGAGCCGCGTACGATGCTGGCTGTGCTCTTAGGGACCTGCCGACAGATGTGCCTACAGATCCCTTAGCATGGGTCGTGATGTCCTGGGAGCACGCAGCCAGCTTTGGCGGGGGCTGGGAGTTGGTGAAGAAGGCAGTGCGTGGGAGAGGCTTCTCGGAGGCTGTGACACCCGACTCACGATGCTCGTTTTCACCCTATTTTTAGAGACAGGGTCTCACTCTGTAGTCCAGGCTGGAGTGCAGTGGTGCGGTCACAGCTCTTTGAGGCCTCGACCTCCTGGGCTCAAGGGGTCCTCCTGCCTGAACCTCCTGAGTAGCTGGGATTGTGGGCAGCGCGTGCCACCACACCTGGCAAACTGTTGTGTTTTTTTTTGTGGGGATAGGGTCTCGCTATGTTGTCCAGGTTTGTCTCAAACTCCTGGCATCAAGCAGTCCTCCTGCTTCGGCCTCCCAAAGTGCTGGGGTTACAGGTGTGAACCACCGCACCTGGCGCGAGTCAGGCTTTTGATGTCTGTGTGCATCCCAAATGGCCCATTTGTTTCCCAAAGGCTTATTTTATTTGAGTTTTTTGAGATGGAGTTTCGCTGTTTTTGTCCAGGCTAGAGTGCAATGGCACGATCTTGGCTCACTGCAACCTCTGCCTCCCGGGTTCAAGCAATTCTCCTGCCTCAGTCTCCCGAGTAGCTGGGATTACAGGCATGTGCCGCCACCCCGGCTAATTTTGTATTTTTAGTAGAGACGGGGTTTCTGCATTTTGGTCAGGCTGGTCTTGAACTCCCGACCTCAGGTGATCCACCTGCCTCGGCCTCCCAAAGTGCTGGGATTACAGGCGTGAGCCACCGCGCCTGGCCCCGAAGGCTTATTTTTGAGGGTCCCTTGGGTGATGTAGTCTTCCTGTCTGCCTCACGTTCCTATGGGAAAAATGTGGCTGCCTGCCTCTTACCATGGTGTGTCTGCATTTCCCTTCTGCTGGTAAGAATGAACTCCTTTTCCCGTCTCTGGTGGGGTGGTCGGGCTTTTTGTTACTGTCTGGTAGAAGGCTGCCTCCCCCGCAGAGAGGCAGGATCCATCTTCCTTGCTGTGAGGCTCCTCTGATCCTCTGTTTCCTCCTCCGTAACATACTCATCAGACTGCCCTCTGAGAACACCAGGGGAGAATGCATGTCCCATGTCCACCCTCCACATTTACACACGCCCAGTTTTCTATGGGGTTTGAAGAGGCTGGCGTGATCTAGCCTTTGCCATGCCCTCTCAAGGGGATTTCAGGGTGGACAGGGCAGCAGCCTCCAGAGAGGAGATAGACAGGAACGCTGGCCTCCCAGGATTGAGAGTGGACAGAGGTTCAGGTGAAAGGCCCTCAGCTAGCCCTGGAACACCTGTGGCGCCATGCTCTGTGCTGGGCACGTGCTGCATGGTGACCCTGTGAGCTATTTGCTGCTGGTGGGGAAAAGGGGGCTTATCAAGGAACGTGTTTTGCCCATACCACCACCTGACCAGGGCAGGTCTGGAGCCTCCAGGGCCTCTGGGAGGAGAGAGCATCTGATGAGGGCACCAGGGCAGGCAGGGTTGGGGAGGCTTGGCGGAGCTGCGACGGGAACAGGAAGATGGCCGGTGCTCCTGGGCCCTGGGTCACAGGCTCAGTGGGTCATTGGCGACGTTGAGCAGCACGGCTGAAGGACTCGGATTTCCTCCTGGGCTCTTATCCTTGGACGTGCTCAACCATTTTATTTAATTAATTAATTTCTGAGACAGGGTCTCACTTCATCGCCCAGGCTGGAGTGCAGCGGTACGATCACAGCTCACTGCAACCTCGACTCAAGGGATCCACCTGGCTCAGCCTCCTGAGTAGCTGAGACCACAGGCATGTGACATCACACCTCACTAAAGTGTAAAATTTTTGCCGAGACGGGGTCTCACTTTATTGCCCATGCTGATCTTGAGCTCCTGGACTCAAGCAATCCTCTCTCCTCAGCCTCCCAAAGTGCTGGGATGACAGGCGTAAAGCACCGTGCTGGGCTGCGCAGCCATTTGAGAGCCGGCTGGACCTGCCCAGGGTGGCTTGGAGGGATGGTTCAGCAGCCCTTATGGCGGGCACCGTGTAGCCCTGGGATGCAGGGACGTGCAGCCCCGGCCTAGAGGGGCACTTTCTATCCCGGCCTTGAGAGTTGTAAATGAGCGTTACTCTCCCCACAGTGGCCGCTGTCTGCTGCCTGGGCCTTGGCTGCAGCCTGGTGGCAGGGGAGGGCCTTGGTTGTCTCTGTGGAGTGGGCAGGGCTAGATCCCACCTTCCTCCAATCTGACCTCAGAGCCCAGGCCCCTGCCCACTGCCCCGCTCTCCCTGTGGCATCTCACGGTGTCTGTGCCCTACTGAGAGGCAGGACGACGTTTTCCAGGAGAGGGAACCCTTACGGGGAGGATTGCAGGAAAGCCGAGGGCTCTCCAGAGGTACGGTGGGCCTCAGCCCAGGGCTTCATGGCTCTGGCAGGAACGCCCTCCCAGATGATGCTTCACCCAGGAAGGCAGAGGCTGAGGGCACTGCGTTGAGGGAATGCTGGTGCTGCGCCACAGGCCGACTCAGGCCCCAGCAGAACAGTCCTGGGCCTGGGGAAGGGGCCGTCCTATACTGCCAAGTGGGTGGCAGATGTGTGTGCGGGGCCCACAGCTCCTGTCCTCGGGGATCCCGCAGTCGGGTTCAGGATCTGGCGGCCCAGTGCCAGTGGTTCTGGGTGGGGCCATTGATGGCGTCCCAGCTGGGGCTCCAGGCGACTCCAGAACTGCATCTGTAGAGGGCGGGTCCTGAGGTAGAGGCGCTCAGGGAGCAGCTCCAGGTACATGGGGAGCCCTGAAGCCCACCCGCCATGTACCCAGTATCTCGTGAGCCTTCCAGCAGAGTCGGGTCGGGCAGGGATCCTCCTCCTCCTGGCTCTTCAGATGCGGCCCCCCACATGGGCTCTGGGGTGCCTACCTCTGGACTTGGCCGTTGCCACATCAGTACTGGGCGGACTCTGTGACTCCCAAACAGCAGTGGGAGTGGCTCTTCCCAGTTTACAGATGAGGAAACTGAGGCCCAGCGTCAGGAGGCCGCTCACCTGTGTGCGTGTGGCTGGTGACTGGGGGTGCTGGGCTGGATGTGGGTGGACCGGGGCCCTGCCTGCCTCCTCAGCCGTTTCTGCTGCCAGACTCTGTGGGCTGGGAACAGAAGGAGGGAACTTGAAACCTTCCAAGGATGGGCCTGAGGCAGGCCTGGCTCTCTGGTGACGGTGACAGCCTCCCCTCCCCCAGTAGGCAGCTGAGCCCCAGGAGCCTACTGATCTGGCAGGGCTTGCCGGCTCTCCTGGGAAACTCTGAGGCCCCTGAGTCAGGTGAGAAGGGAGCAGGAGGCCAAGAACGGCGCCTTACTGCCGAGGGTGGCTTGTTTTCATCTCTGGCCTCGCAGGAGGGTCAGGAACTCCCACTGGCCGCGTCCTGCGCTGCCTCCTGGTGGCTGGGTGACAACCGGGTTTCCGTGGGGCAGTGAAGGTGCCATCCGACCGCCTGTGCTGCCTTCAGAGACCTGACAGTGTGTGCTCTCCTCGGTACGACTTTTCATCCGCAGTGAGCTGCGTCCAGGAAGGAACGGACTCTGGGGGAGAACCCCCACAGCCAGCAGTATTGTCTTTTGGTTTCCCAGGCCTGGCTGGGGTGTATGAGGACCTGGGGGTGATTTTACCAGCAGGTGGCAGATGGGCAGTTGGACCAGTGGGGCCACCTGCCTGGCCTGGAGTGGCAGCTATGGAACTTGCTGGAGGGACAGTTGCCGCTAGGGACATTGGGGGCCAGATTGTTGTCTGGTGGGCCATTCTTTGCTTTGTAGGACGTTGAGCAGCGTCCCTGGGCTTCCCCGACCCCAGTGGTGACAAC